AACCTTAAACTAACCCTAACCCTAATTATAATTAAGAACTTCAAAATCACGTGGGTACAAGGCTTTAGCGATCCCCCGCAATAGGAAATCGAAAATCAAAAAATGATGATCAGATCGAAAAAGATTAACAACGCCAATCAATAAATAGTTAATGAAAAAAGGTCTGGACCAAAATAATTTTAATGAAAATCCTGCTCGATAAAAAAAAAATTACTAGTGTTTTAACAGTTAAAAATAAAATTGACAGAATCGCAAATCACAATTAATTCCGAGATATTAAAATAATAAAAAGACTACGTACGTACGAGCACTATTATCTGTTATATAATCATATTGGCGTATAACATTGATATGTAACCTTGTGATACATATGAAGTTGGGATTTACAGATTTATACTAAAGTTGGTAATGTTATAATGACATTTTACTTTATTTGTCACTAGTGCGTACTTTTATATTTATTATGATTTTTTTATGTATTAAATTTATATAAATACATTGACTCTAACATATTTAACCGTACTTTTCTTAGATATAACTATTTTAATAAAAATACACAAAATTTGCCAACTTTTCTAATGTCGGTTTCTACAACTTATATTCGATTAAATACTCGATGGTCAAAACGATCAAAACGTATAAGACGTTTACAATGTTATTCTTTATTAAGGACATTATTTATTTTTACTATTTTTTTGGGTATAATTTTTTTTATAATTTGTGACTTTAGATTAAATATTAGAATTTATTGGAGGGATTGGATTTCACATGAAGAATTTAAACATGAAAATTTAAGTAAATGTTTTGATAATGTTCCTAATAATTCTAAACCATCAATCGTTTACAATGACATTTTAACTAGCTTACCTCTTACTTATGGTTGGGATTGTTATGATTTTGCAAAAAGTATAAAGTTAAAGCCTGGTCAACCTAGAGAACATATAATTTACCATTCTTATTGGCGTGCTGATCTACGACCTTTTGGTGATAAACAGATCGCTACGTTAAAATCTTTCTTTGCTACTCAGGATGAAACATTTTCTTCTCTTATTCTTTGGACTAATGGAAATATTTCGACTGTTCCTTCTCTTAAACTGTTACTAGAACGTTATCCCAATCGATTCGTAATAAAACATTATAATGTCATGATAGTAAGCAAAGAAACTCCTATGGAAAATTCTCCAAATCTTAAACTTAATGATAAATTAGCTTACCTTGATGGTGATTTGATTAGACTTCTTGTTTTATACAAATATGGTGGAATATGGTTTGATATGGATTCTCTTTTTGTACGTGATTTTTCTCCACTCGTGGAACACGAATGGCTCGGTCAATGGGATTGTTTTATGCCAAAGGGTTATCCTTTTAATGGTGCTTTTATGAGATTTCGAAAGAATTCTCCTTATTTATGTGAATTCCTTTCTGAAATGGCTAATGGTCCGGTTCCTAGTAAATCTTCAATTGATTGGGGTGGAAGACTTTATTATAGAATTTTTAGGCGTTTAATTCAAAATGGAAAAAAACCTTTCGGAATGATTCCTTGGTGTTTTACCGATTCTTACTTATGTAATCCATCAAACTCGATGCCTAATGCATTTGATGAGGCGAAATTTGATAAAGAGAGATTATTACAAGTATTTTCTTTTCACTGGCACAATCAATGGGATAAGAAAAAAGGAAGTTTATTTAGATTTCTGGAGCAAAGAAATAATGAAATTCTGGGATTTTAAACAATTTATCAAACTATTATAATTTATAATTATAAATTTTTGTTAATAATACTTTCCAATCTGATTTTCGTTTGGCTGCTGGTTCACCAAAAAAACAAACCCAAAAAAAAGTGTAAAAACTTTATTATGGATATGTTTAAACGAGATTTGATTATAAAATTAAAAATGTGAAAATGAACAACTTTGGATGTGTGAAATAAATATAAATATTTATTTCATATTTATAGATATATTTACATTAAGTAAATAAATACAAATACAGATACAAAAATACAAATAAAAAATACAAATACAAATAAACCCTCTTGGAAATTTTTAATTTGATCTAATGTAGTATAATCATACTTTCACTAAATCCCATCTCAACCAAAGATTGTTCAACGTTAAATACCATTTCAGGCGGACCACAAACTACAATTTTTCCTTGTATCAAAACATCTTTACTTGAATTTGCTAAATCTGGATCAATGCTTTTAGGTTTTCCTGTTCTTTCTGTTGATGCTTTTGATTCGGGCCTAGGTCCCATATCAATTATACTATCATCATCATATTTCTGATTATTATCATAATTGTCAGGTCGTATAATTGGATCTTCTACTGGAGGCTGTGCATCTGTTGTTATGTATGGTATAATTTGTGCTGCTTCATATTTTGCTTGTATAGTTGTTGGTGATGAAGGACTCCGGTTCTGTTCGTTTGCATCACGGCGTACAGAATGACTCTGAAGAATGTTCAAGTAATTTTTATCTTGTGTCATCAACTGAGTATTGTTTTGTGATTCGAGGAGTACACCCCGCATTATGTTCATCCAATCTAGTATTATTGGTTTAATAATTCTTCCCCGTAAACCATCCCAATCTGAAGGTGGTTCTGAGAGACAGTACGTCACAGTAAGTTGTCCTCTACTTGAAAGCGCAAGATCTTCAAGTAATATACCATCGATAACATCTTCAATTTTACGATTTCCAAATAATAAATGCATTCGCTTATATTTAAAATATTGACCGGATTCATTTTTTTGTTTTATCGATTGTTCCAAATAATACTTGATTAACTATTATAATCAATGTTAAACAATTGTTATTTTATGAATATCAATAAGGATATTTGAGAAAATACTTGAGATAATACATATATTAAAAATTACCTGCAACATTGGTGTTATCCCAGTACCACCTGAGAACGAAAAGAAAAGGTTATTAAGAAAACTGTAAGATTCACTTAATTAAAAATCAAAAAAATAATAAATAAATAAATACCAGCAATCATGAATAATTCGTCCCAACAACCATCCGGACTATCTGGGTTTAATAAAGAAGTCTTTGGAGTCTTAGTTGGTGATAACATTCCAGAAGGTTTGTTTGAGGTATAAGGGCTATAAGGGATATAAGTTCTTGCATTTGAAAGAATACTCTCTCTTCGAGATAATGAGTTTGAAGATGCAATATGTAACTTGTGTCTTTCACAAACATCAAATGGACCGCGTGCTTGAATTTCGTATCCTATTAACTGTTCATTCTAAAAAAATGATAACCAAACACTGTTATTAAAAATTTAAAGAAGTACTATTTTAAAAAAATGTAAAGTTAAAAATGTACACACTAGGTGCTGGGAAAAGAGTCCTTTTGGATAGATCTTGACATAAATGGAAAATGACTTGGATAGACAACCTTCTAAGGGGGTGTAACTTCTAATCACAATTTGGCCACGTACTCTAGATTGCACTTCAATGTATTGTCCAGGCAAAAACCTTTCAGTGTAAACATCTTTTTCACTTTTATGTACTATGGAAAATGTAAATCTCATTACAGGATATTTGACATTTGCGTTAACCATTTGTTTGCTTATAAGTTTATAACGATGAAATTTGATAGTTTTTGTGAGATTTTTATCAATTTCTATAGACTCGTCTAGACTTTGATAAATAGACCTATCACTTTGGACCAAAGGTCCTTTTTCACTCACACTTTCACTCATCTTGCCTATAACCAGTGTTGCCATTTTCTGTGTAGCAAATCTACTATGAGTATGTTGTGCCAAAGGTTCTCTTATATAGAATTTTCCATTAAAGCTGTCAACAAATTTGGCAGCTGAGAGTCTTGGTTGGGGTGCAGGTTTTCCTCGAAGGTGATTTATATATTTTGCAAGCACAGATGAAGAATTTCCAGAAGGTACATCTTTTGGAATTAATAAAGCCTCGGGAGAATCTATATCTTCAGCAGCTGGTTTGTTATTGTGTGTATTGTAAAAATCTATAATAAAAAAAATACGTATTCATTTACTAATTCATACTTTTAGGTATACTTTAAACGAATATCCATAGTAATTCTTACCATTCGTAATATCTGTTCCAATAACCTATATAATAATAAATCGTGAAATTAATTGCAAGTTTCGTATTTTAATAATTGATTATATAAATAAACCATTATAATATTTACACGCAATAATATTTGACTTCCTCCTATTATTATATAAATTTTATACATTAGCGTTAGTTATCAAAATTTACGTATAAAAAATTGATAGCTGAAAAAAACTAACCTGGATGAGAACCAATCCAACTGTGGATATCTACCACAAGTCCGTCACAAACAACCAAATAAGCCTAAAAAATGAACGGTTTATAGGTTAGTTATTTAAGCAAGCAAATAATTATAGTAATTTTTGAAGCCAATTTATTAGTCCATTTCAATTTGGCTAATCCTTTAAGAGAGCTTTTGGATAAATCTAACTATATAATATTGATTGTAATAATATTATATTTGTAATTTAACCTACCCCACGCTGAACTCGTTCATTGATTTCTTCCCAAGTAAATTCTGGTAATTTAATATAATCTTCATGATTAATATGAATATGCATCATCGCTTTTTTCTCAGCAATATCTTTATTTTTAAAACAACATAATCGGTGAAAGGATCCTTCAAAACGCCACCAAAGTTCTCCACTTAAGAAGAAAATTATCAATAACAGTATCCAAAAACCGTAAACAATTTTCCACCAAAACGAATCACTAATTTTAATAAAATTCCGAGTTAAAAATAATAATATTACGAAAAATTATGATATGCAAATATATTGAAAAGCATTATACTTACTAGCCATATGAAAGACAATAGGTATCAATTCCTACAATTAATATATAAACGACGATTAATATAATATTAAATATACGAATTATATATGATATATATAATTATAATCACCAAGATATATATTAACCCTACAATTTTATATGGATACATGAAGAAAAGATAGATATACGTAAATATATATATAATTTAATACAGTAATATATCGGAAAAGTTAAAAACAATCAGTAAGGATGATTATAAACATTTTACCATGCTAATAATAATAGCGTTACACCAACACATTTATGAAGGCGTTTTGTAAATCTTGGATACCCCTATAAAATGATTTAACACGATTAATAAATTATTAAACAAAAATCGATATGAATGTAAATATTAAACAAACCTTATTAACTGATACTATAGATGTTTGTCCCCATATAGCGACTACACCTAGAACTATAAAATATTCATCAAGTTAATTAAATTAATTAAATTCAATTGTCGAGCTTATGTTAAATGAATAAGCACCTAATTCAAAAAATGCCGAGATATATATA